CCGCTGCCGCCCGGGCTGCTGCTCCGGCGCGCGGGGGCAGCGGGCGGCGCAGCGCGGGCAGCTCCTTGCGGTGGCGCCTCCCTGCGCGCTGCCCTCGTCGAGCGTGGAGGGAAAAGGTCCAAGCGCGAAGGGGTGTTGATTACGGGTGGTTTAAGTGAATAGTATGAGACTTAAAATTGCCTGTTCTCCTTTGGAAAAAAAGGCTTGAGGGGTGTTTGTTTTTTATTTTTAGTCTTTCTCTCGTCCTTATGCACCCCCTCATGCTTTATCTGTTCCCTACTTCTGTTGTAATGAAGCTAAATCACTTTGACATTTGTGTGTTGCTGGATCAGAATATGCTGGAAAAGTGCCTAAGTGAATAGTATGAGACTTAAAATTGCCTGTTCTCCTTTGGAAAAAAAGGCTTGAGGGGTGTTTGTTTTTTATTTTTAGTCTTTCTCTCGTCCTTATGCACCCCCTCATGCTTTATCTGTTCCCTACTTCTGTTGTAATGAAGCTAAATCACTTTGACATTTGTGTGTTGCTGGATCAGAATATGCTGGAAAAGTGCCTTATAAATCAGTACTTCTTTCTTCTTAAAATTCTGTGTTTTCATGCCCTTTTGATGCTTCAGTAACTATAATATCTGTCCAGTATCAGCAAGCATACTGGCCAATCCAGGGCATGAATCCAGCTGCACCAATGGATCAAGCGATGGAAGGACTGATACAGCCTGGCAAAGAAACAAAAAGTAACATATATTAATATAGCGCAGTATATGAAAGCCCTTGAAACAGGAGGTGGCCCTGAAGTGTATTTCCCTCGAGTGGCCACACATAAAACCTGGTTTCAGTAAGAGTTGTGCACAGACCACAGTCGTGTACCTCTATTCTTCAGCCTAATTAACACAACAAATTAGGACTTCTCCTAAATCACCTTTGGTACGTCACAGTGAAATAAATGATGAATTGCTAGCATATGTCTTCCTGCCCAAAGTTTACAGAAGCGCAGTCTGAGTGGTTAGAGTGGTTGAAAATTAAGTTTTGTCTCATACTTGAGATATGTTTATATTTGTAAATGGCCCATAGGTTAGCTCACAGCCTCTCATATAGCCCGAGGATTTAATTTGAATTTCTTTAACATTTTAATGAAGTACTACCTCACTTCTGAGAAGACCTACATGGGTGCCTACACTTTTGCATAGCTCTGTTGAAACCCATATATATACGTGTAATACATTAGTCAATGGGCTGCCCATATGCATAATACTTTATTAAAAAGATGGAATTGATAAGTTATAAAAGACATTGTTAAAATATTTTTGGATGTTGTCAGCCTCGTTGTCATTACTGAAGCTTAATCCATATTTTTTTGCCCAGCCTAGGCTATATATCTTGCTTGTGACATGTGACTGTCCACTTAAGTGTACAGGTTGTTTGGTAATGTAATTAGGCTTTTCAAGAACACATAGTAGGAGTGGAGACCTCCTATGAAGCAGGTTGCTATAAGGCAATATTTGCTATAGAAAAAGAGAGCATTATGAGGGAAGAAATGAGCACCTGCAGTTAAATAACAGAATCAAGGCTCTAATATGTGATTTAGAATTGTATTTTTCTCGAGTTCTTCCATTTGAAGGCTTCCTCTAGTAGTGCTGCATTTGTGTCGTGTGAACTCTCCACACCAAAGCGAACAGCATCCGATTTCCACCACTGAGACTAGTTGTCAGGTTTTTCCCTTGTCCCTCTTGTAGAGGGATAAAAAGGTTAAATGGAAGTGCCTGGAACAGAGCCAAAATACTAGATGGCTTTTGCTTACTTGAAAAACCCACATTGTCACTAACTTGAATGTCTCTCGAGCTGGAGAATTCCTGCCTCGTGTCCTACCTGAATGCAGCCCTGCTTCAGTGAGGTTCCGTTTGGAGGCAAAGTCGGGAGCTGTTCCTGCCAGGAAACCCCTGTTGTTCACAGCAGGACACTAATGAGGCAAGTGCCTTTGGAGTCTCTGCTTCACAACTCGGAAGTAAATACAAGTTTGATAAAAACACAGGTGTGTTATCATGAGCAAATTACCATACATTACCTACGTGAGTGCTGCTTGGAGTAAGCACCTGTAGTTATTTACAGTGAACGTATAAATTGTCACTTAAGGAACCACAGAGTCATATTTAAACTAAAAGGATCAATCCACTGATCCAGAGATCTGGCAGTAAATCATGAGGATTATAATCAAGGAGGCAAAGGCTCTCTGTTTTCCATAAAACAAGCTGCATAGAGAACATATTTGATAATGTGAAATAAATTTGGGGGCGGGAAGGCACAAGGCTTGGGTGGCCATCCTGCAACCATGTCTTGGCGCGTGGCGTTTCCAGCTGGCTCCAGTGGTGCCTCTGGCTGCGCTGCTGCGATCCCTGAGCGATGCTTCCTATTGCTGAGGAACAAAGGGCATCAGAACCCAGCAGCCTGGGGTGGTTTTCCTGTTCCGCTCAATTCCATGGCCTGATGAGTAGGTGAGAGATTCCCAGCCCTTCTGCCTGTGGGCTGAGGGAGAGCTTCTCCATGGTGGCCCTGGGTTTTCTTGCTGGCGCACCCTTGGCAGAGTCCTTGGTTGGTGCAGGCTGCTAGCAAATGTGGCCCCAAATGTGATATATCACTATATTTTTGTCTGCATACATACATCTGGTTTTTTTTCGCCTTGTCCAGATCACAGAGTTCTTTTTTTTTTCTTTTTTTCCCAGAACAAGAGCTGACCGTGTGTTTTATACATGGCACAAATGTATGAAGCATAGAGGAGGCTCCACAGGTCCAGAGCAAGGTCAACTCAAGCATTTTGGTGATCCTTCAGCGGACACGTTGGAAAACCCTTGTGTGTCTGAACAGGCAAAGGCAAACACATTGACGTTTTGTTAATGGAAGGAAATGTTAAAATGTCAATGAAAACGACACACTTGGATTCACATCATGACCACTCGAAGTAAATTCAGGGTCATTTAATGGAGTTTATTTGGCTATTAAGGGCAAACACACAACTGTTCAAACAACTTTTAAGAATTCCAAGCAAATGGTGCTCATCAATATGGCAGGGAGGAACGCAAGATAAGGCTGCACACGTTGAGAGCGCTATGCTCACTGCTCATTGATTGGCCATAAGGAGAGTGAGAGAAAGCTGAAAAGGGTTATTTTGTTTGTTTAAAATCTTTAAATGACAACTGGGCATCTCGGAGATGGGAATATTTGGTAGCAGTTTATACATTATGGCATCCTGATTAGTGTCTATTCCCATGTGTTTTAATGTGTATGTGTGGAATAAGGTCTCCAGCAGTGCTGTAAGGTGTTAATTCTTGGGTTATGAATTTATGCCAGAACTACAAATAACACAGACTGTGCGAATACCTGCCTACTTGTTACGCAAATACCTGTCAGATTAAAAAAACTGTCCAAGAACTTTGAACTAACCTGTTTTAAAATAGATCTACTTTGGGATGGGTTTTTGAATAACGTGGTTTACAAATGTTTGCTTGCTTTACATACATGAACTTGCTTTAAAAAAATCTTGGAGACTTTCTGTATGTTAACTACTCTTAATCCATGCTATGTTTAAATACGTAACTCTGATATAATAGGACTGGTAGGCCATGGAGTCCTGTATATATATACACATATTTTCACTTGTAAATGAGCTGAGAGACTGACTCAGGAGAGTAATAATGGGTAATAGAGCCTGCCACCTCTCAACCAGTAGCGTGTTGTAGCTATTACAGATGATTTTCTTCCCCTTTGTTCTCTAAAATGGCAGCACTGCTGTATATCAGAGGCATTCCTTCCTGCTACTCTACCTGTACCTTTTATTTTTCTTTTTTTAGCTTTGTTTTCCCTAAGGGTATCAGCTCCTTATTGCAATAGAATCTGTATGATAACTGCTTGTAAAGTAGAAAGTTCTGTTCATGTACTCCGGACTATGGGCTTGTGTGCATATTTATGAAAGCATTTTAAAATCAAACCAATCTTTTGGCAGACCTGTCACTGGAAACCTCCAATTCTCTGGTTCTTTATGTGTCTGATTCCCAAGCTCCATTATTTTTGGCTAACAGTATATCTATTCTTTTTTTTTCTTTAAAAGCTGCTTGCACGACTTGAGGGAAGAACTTCTCTGAAAGATCTTGAACCATATCTGTTTGCTGAGGAAGGATTTCCTGTTCATGGTAAAAATGTATCCTTATCTTATTTATGGAAAAATGTCAGTTTAAAAGTATGCTTATCTCCATCATATTGCCCTGAGAATACAAATAGATCTTTTTTTGCCCTGGATTCAGAATTTTAAGTGTTGATGTAATTCACTTATGTTTTAGACAAATTAGATAAAATGGAACAATACAGAATCAGCATGTGAATATTAATAAATTGATTTAAAATATCTAATTCACAGGTAACAAAAAATTGTAGATGGGGAAATAGCAAACACTTCGGTAGGTTTTTAGTAGTGTTTCACAGAAATTCATCCTGATTCTGGCAGTGCTTTTTGTCAGTGGCCTAAGCCCCCTCAAAAGATCATCACTGTAAAAAATTGAAGAAAACTTGAGATTCAATAAATATCAAAAAGCTCAGTGGTATGAAATGATCTGGATCAACCAGTAAAATGGGCAAGAGCAAACAGCTGTGGTTTTTGGTTTTGTTTTTTATTTTAATAAAACCAAGTCATCAAGCCTTACCACTTGGCCCCACAAATGGGGATTATACTTAAGTGATGAAACTGTGGAAACAATTCTGTTATGAACATAAATATCAATCAGCTGAATGACTTCTTGGAGGATGTTATGATCAAAATGTCTTATTCCTTAACTGAATAAATAAGAATTCCAAGTGAAGGTAGAGGAATTGGGCTACCTCTGCTTGCCAGTGGTGCAATAGGTTTAAGGTAGATTCTCTATTACTGGGTGTTTTTAAATTAGAAATGAATGCTTTAATGAAAGAAATTACTGAGCTTAAACAGGAAATAACCCAGTAATTTCTTGATTATTCAAGAAGTTGGACTTTTTTTTTCATTTGAATTTTATTTGAAATTCCATGGATTTCACCATAGAAGAGACTACGGTGCATGTGTACACAGACCTAGAAATACACAGCAAAAAAGAAGCATGAATGGCAAACTTAAAGTATCAAGCTGTGAGATACCACAGTTGTTGAAAGTATATATATATATATATGTATGTATGTATATATGGATAGTTTTTATATGAAAAGTATGTGGCTGATGTAGTTATCAACATACTTGCCTGCAATTTGAATTCCCACTAAGTATAGAAGAATCAGAGCAGAAAAATGATTTAAAAAATCGTGGTAATTGTGTGAGAGATGATGCTTAGTCTAAAAATGTAGCCATTCTGAGCCATTCGTGTATATTTTGCAGCACTTGGGAATACATTAGGGCTTTAGCAGTGTACAATTCCTGCCCCCAGACATTATAAATATGATGTAACTAAGTTAAAGGGCAGCGAAATATTGGCAAGGCAGTGTGAGCAGGGCAGAGTAGGGTGTTTAAGTACTTTTAATTCAGAACTGTTTTGTTTTCCCCACAAAAATTAGGAGGGAGCAGCGTGTGCTCGTTTTTTGGAGCTTTACATGCAGGAAACAGTTGAGACTGAACTGGACATATCCTCCTAGGACAGACTATAAGAAGCCTTCCTGGTGGCCAAGAATTGCCCTTGCTGTTGCAGTCAATAGAATTATAAATTCCATTCATAAAGCTACCAACTTCCATCATCAAGCCCTGTTTCTGCCCAGTGATAGAGGTTCCAGAATTGAGGTTCCAGAACTTCCATTCTGAGGTGGCTGGGAAACCTTGTAAAGTCATTGCTGCTTCCTCTCTGTGCCAACATTATTATTGAGCTTTCAAAGCTTTTCAGTTTTCTTTTGCTTTTAGCAAATGGTACTAATCATTATCTGAATTGGTCATGCTTTTTAGATGGCACTAATGGAGCAGCCTAAGAATTTAGCACTGATTTTTAACTTTGTATGTATAAGTGGGCTTCACCTTTTCTTTTAATGTAAAATGGTGTAGCATTAAAACAATGCAATAACTTAAATTATTCTTCTTCCTGACAATATTTCAATCAAAGCAACATATATATAAAGCTTCAATAAACTATACAAAGGTTACATCATGTGTGTGTCAGAGATTTTCTTCTTGTCCATAAAATAGGAACAGCTAATATAAGTACTGCTGTGACATTCCAGTCAGCGCTTCTAATTAGTATGGAATTCTATGTTTAAGAACACATAAGCATATTAATTACACACCATTTAAGCTCTTCTGGAACAGAGCAAAAATGACACAAGCTTTTAATAATCTTCCACTATTGCCAGTCATGTTTCTCCTTATGCCACTGGTATGAAGGCGTGGGTGTCAGTATTAAGCTCTGATGTTCGGCTGGAGTGCAACACCCCAAATTAACTTGGAATAAACACTTTGCCCTTTTACCCCACTTCTAAATGGCAGGAATATTAGTGACGACTTCTCCACAGTATTGTAAATTATTAGCCTGGTAACTTCAAGGTATCTCTTGGTGTGACACCCACAAAACTGTTGCCAAGTATTCTAATAGCTGTTTTTTAACTGCAGTGTTAGAAAATAATTCTGATATTTGCTAGTGTAATGATTACTGGCATAACCTCAGCTGCATTAATTCAAAGATGACATTGGATTTATTACCAGGACTGAGAACAACGTTTCAGTTGAAAATATATTTATTAATATTGAAGTTTATTCAGCATTATGTAGTTTACCCTATTGTTCTCATTAGCCTGCTCACAGTGGGTGGGCTCAGTTTTGTGTGCGTTTGAAACTGCTTTGACCCAAGTAGTGTGTTGCCTTAGACCAGTCATTCCTTAAAGTATTCTTCTTGAATTGGCCAGTGCTGAATTTCATCTGAAATTGTTCTGCTTTTCCACCTTGCTCTGGTCACTAAGTTAGTTTGTCTCCTACACCTTTTGCCAAGCCTATTGGTATTATTCATGTCAGGCAACACCAATTCATAGTAAAAAGTTCCCCTTTAGCTTTCCTCCGTGTTAAAGTGGCCATTCCTATCCCAACTCCCAGACTGTTTACGTCCTGTGACAGTATCTCCTTACTTATCCTTCTTTTAAACTATTCTGACATTTACAGATAGAATTATGTATGGGTAGGACAATGCTAGTTCTGATGCCTTAGTTTCCTCCATGGTCCCTTGCCAGAGTGTCAGAGGCTCTTTGACAGCACTGTTAGCCACACTTCTTCCTCTGCTGTGTCATGATTTGTCTGCTCTGATCCAGAAGGATGAATTTCCCCTCTTTATCTTGCTGCAACAGCCCAGTTCCTAATTAAATTAAACCTTACATTTATAGATGTTGCTATAAATGGCTTCTTGTTTTTCTTGCACCAGTTCTTGTGGGCAGCCTCTTTGGTAATCACAAAGGCACAGAACCCCCCCTGCTCCCTTGAGGTTTTCTTACTGTCCAAACTGTTATTCTCCTCAGAGTATCCGCGTAACGTAGTCACACTGCAACCCGGATGTGTATCTTGATCAACAGTATTGAGCAAACTCTGAAAGCTATTTAGCTGTTTTGCTGTTAAAATTTATAAAGCACCACCACAGAATTCTTTAAGAATATTTTTTTTCGTTTTTGTTCAGTTTATCATTTTTACTTAATTCATGCTAATTCTGGCAATAAAAGCTCCTTCAGTGTTCTGTGAGTTACAGTTCCCTTATGTAAAGTTTTACAGGAGGTAACACAAAAACTTTCTGATAATACATATTTTAAAATGATGAAGTCAAGTGTGCACTTCGCAGAACAATTTTTGCTTGGTTTAGTTTTTTCTTAGTTTAGTTTCTTCTTTAGTTTTCTTAGAAATCTGACTAAGATCTTGCTACTGATGCTTGTGAATGGGCATAGAGTTGCTAGGTTATTTTTAACAAGTCATATTCTGCTATAAACTTGGTGTTTTCACCCAATCAAGTCATTGATCTGGATTCAAAGGTACCAGTCAGGGTAGGAAAGTTGTGCACTTTTCCACAGTGCCAGTGGAAGGCAGAAGCCAGTGATAGGCAGGACACAAACCCTGTACTTAGAAAAGACTTCTGCAAGCTGGTGTCACATCCCAACAGGGCTCTGTTGTATTGCCAGCACCGTGTCTGTGACACAGTAGAGTAGCTGTGCATGTGCACGTTGGATATTGCCACCTCTGAGCACAAGGGGAAGGTGAGGACCAGTGTAACAGAGGTGTAGTCATGTGTCATCTCAAAAGTGGGAAAAGGCCATTCAACCCAGAACTGCAAGGGTTTGGAAGGCAATTAACTTGTTGTGTTTGTTTTGGTTTTTATATATATAAAAATGTCGAGGTATTGAATGTTCAGGAAAAGGGGATTGCAGTTTTGGAGAAGTGATGATTTCATTACAGAGAGGCAAGTGGTCTGTGTGCCACCGAAACGGACGGAGTGGCTTCTGATGTTTGCAGTGTGTGAAGAGAGCGTAATCTTTTCCCCATTGCCCCTCATCCCAAGCTGCCTCTGGACATTATATTCACTTGTGAACAAACAACATCCTCTGGAAGTTGGGCAATAACTTGAAAAACCTTGTTAACTCAGGCAGGCACAAACTTGTTTTAGTAAAGTTACAATTAATTATCTGTTCTTGCATCCCTCCCGTCAAAAGCTGCTAGGCCATTTACACTTGCTGAGGCCATAGAAACCTATCAGCTTCTTGAAATTACTGTTGTGTGAATCTCCTTCAGCTAGAGAGAATCGAACTGTTCACCTTACTGTATGTGCCTTTACCCTCCTGCGTAAAATCCAGAATGTCATAAATAAGTAATCCAGTTTCCTAAATTATATAATTTTTTAATGTATTTTTTATAAGCAGTAACCTTTCTTAAGGTACTGCTCTGGTATAAGACATAGAAAGCCTATGGAAAAGATTTCGTATTATCTTATATTTACATCTGACAGAATAACCAATTCCCTAGAAATGGGTTATGGTTTTTTTATTAATGTTTTAAATGTATGTGTTACATATGTTATCGACGCAGAATGATCAAGCAGTTAGGCTGAGTCAGTTCATGAGACGAGAACCTCAGTTTCAGACAGTAGAATGGTTGCTTGGAGTTAAAGTGATGTGTGATTTCTCCCTTGTCAAAAGAAGCAACTTCATATTGCGATCATCGTAGAATATAAGTGCTAAATAAATATACTGACATTCTCTTTACTGGTCACAGACTCCTGCTGGTGTCTTGTGACGTGCATAGATACTGAACAAGCACATAGCATGAAATGCTAAAGGCCAGTCCATGCTACAAAAATAGATATGTCGCCATGATTTGTACATCCAACATATCTTTTTTTTTTCCCTTCTGTCTCCTCCTCCTTTATTTCTTATTTTTTGTGTCTGCAGTGTAGATGTGTGGTGTCTTAGCCAGTCCTTTGTTATAGCAGCTTCCTCTTTAGCCACCTGGAACGATAGAGAGGTCATCTAACCCATCTAACCTTGTATTACTATTGATGTCTTAGATACTCTCTTTTTTAACCTAGGCTCACAAACTGATTTTCTTCACTTCAGAGGCCTTTCTTGAAAATTGAAATTTCTCTTGGTAGATGCATTCTTTATGGCTGTGCAAGGCTTCAAAATGCATTTTCCAATTAGCCTCAGCAATTTGATAAAACAAGTGCGATTGTGACTGCCTTTTAAACAGCTGAGCTTGTGTTTCATGATCCCTGCTTTGGGGGGACTATATTAGGAGGGACAAGGAGGAAGGAGAATTTCACTTTTGTTCTATTTACAAAAGCATCACAAAGTTCTAGGCCTCCCAAAACTAAATGTGGGAAAGTGGTCCTCTGTTAGTGATTATAATGAAAATGCAGTGATCTAGTTTAACTGGAACTAATAGATGGACATTAGGGGGTCTCTAAATAGTGCTCAGAAGCGATGAGCACTCGCACTTCCCAGTGAACGCTGATAATCCTCTCTGCGCTATAGGTGATCCTACCTCACAGTTTGCTGCTTTGTTTTTGAAACAGGAGATGTCATTGAATTCCACGGTCCAGAAGGAGCAGGAAAAACAGAAATGCTTTATCACCTTGTAGCCCGCTGCATCCTTCCAAAGTCAGGAGGAGGACTGGAAGTGGGAGTCATGTTCATCGATACAGACTATCATTTTGATATGCTCCGTCTAGTCACCATTCTTGAACACAGATTGGCGCAGAGCACGGAAGAAATGATAAAACAGTGCCTGGGGAGGCTTTTTCTTGTTAACTGTAGTAGCAGCACCCAGTTACTCCTCACTCTTTACTCTTTAGAAAACATGTTTTGCACTCACCCCTCTCTCTGCCTCTTGGTTTTGGACAGCATATCGGCTTTTTACTGGATAGACAGAAGCAACGGAGGGGAGAGTTTGAACTTGCAGGAGATGAATCTGAAGAAATGTGCTGAAATTCTTGAAAAGCTCCTAAGAGAGTATCACCTAACCCTGTTTGCAACTACACAAACCATCATGCAGAAATCTACAAACTCTGCAGAACACTCGTTTTCTCCAAAACCTCTACATGAAACAGATGCAGACTATAGGCCTTACCTTTGTAAATCATGGCAGCAAATGGTAACCCACAGGATATTCTTTTCTAAGCAATCTAACTCTGGCAACAGCAAGGCTTTCTCAGTCATTTCTTGTGATATCAAGAAAAAGCATGTAGTAAAGCGGTCATTTACTATTGCAGAATGTGGAGTTCAGTTTTAATAACTTTGTTTTGAAAACAGTGGTGGTCTCAGTGCTTTACATAGTTTTAGTGCCTTTAAACTGCTTGGTTGTCTCTGGTTGATTAAAACTTTGTCACCATTTACTTCAAATTTAATGAAGGACAGAAAGCTTAAAATGATTGAATTACTGTAGAAGTTCAGTCTAAACTAGTGAGGAATGTTGAAATTATTTGTTTGTGGTTAATGTATAAAGAGATTAAATCAAGAAAATTAAAAACAAAGGCATTTTAAACTCCTAATATCCTTGAGTAACGTAACCTACATGGTATGCAGCCAAATGTACTGACTTAATTTCTGGGGCTTAGTGTTTTTCACTCCTCCTCTTCCAAGCTACAGAAATAGGAACGTAGTTGTCCATGTGGGAGACTGCAAAAAGGCAAGTGTTCACTCTTTATAAATATTGGGCTTGCTTTGTTCCCGGTCGCCTGGGGTGTATGAAATGCATGTGCTACTTTGCCTAGAGAAGGGGAGTCATTTTCACAGTGCAGTAAATAGCAGTCTTGGCCGCGCTTCTGCAGGCTTGCACGCCCTCTGCTCACATGCCCGTGTGCCCAGAGAAGCAGGGATTGCAGGTGTTCTTGCCCATACAAACATCTGGCTTTGAAGAAGCTAAAGCCATCACAAAAATGAGGGCCCGGTTTCCATACGTGAAGGAAAACAGGAGGAGGCCCAACCCTATGTACCCATGAGTTTGTTCTGCGTGCAGTAAACAGCTTAGCCTTAGTCTTTGAAAGTGAAGACGGTTGGGTTTTTGTAAGACATATACACAGACATTAATTTCTTCCCTGCCCTCCCTCATTATTCCCTCCCACTTCTTTCCCTTCTCCTGTGCTTCCAAAG